TACTCCTTTGGTCTGTAGCTTTGTCTCTATTCCTGGAAATTCATTTCACGTTTATTTACCCATTTTCCCAGCCCGCGACGTGGAGTTATGTCCCTTCCTTTCTCTTTCTCTCCTCCGTTCCCCCCCGTCCCCCCTCCCCGTGCTGTGCCAGTTAGAACTTCGCTGTTAGAATCCCATCACCAATTGGACATGCCAAAAATTAGAATATCGTGTGAAGCGGAAGGGGTCCCATCCTGGCTGTGAGTCGCAAACTGGCTGGGGCTCCCCCAGGCCCTGGGAGGCATGGGGAGTCCACCACCCTGACTTTGGGAGCTCACATTCTTCCGGCAGTCAGGAGAGGAAAGTGACAAGACTTGTGGCTGATTTTTTCCTCACTTTGCAAAGTTGGGTCAAGTCCAAAAATGCCATTTTGGGTCTCACTAAAAAAAGCCCATCAAATTTGACATTTATGGGACCCATGAGACAAGAATCAGAGGGTGATGATTTTCATATGCCTGGGATGATGCCAGGCCTAAAAACTGGCCACTCTCCTGTCATCTTTATGATACTTCATGGTCCCCCTGCCTCTCAGTGTCAAGGAGCCCCAGAGAGGTAAAATGACTTGCCCAAGGTCGCAAAGCTGGTCGGTTGCAGGTTTTTTGACCTCAAGCCCCGTGTCTTTCGCAGATCACCCGAAGCTGCCTCAGGTCTGTGTTTTCAGGGCCAAAGAACCAAGAAGACTGTTGAATTGTTCTTAGGACCGTGCTTAGAATCAGCTGGAAATAAGAAAGATGCATAAAAGCACCCTTGGGGTCCTCTTGCCCTGACCTGGAGATGCTGAAGCACTAGGAGTGTTCAGAGGAGCACTTGGGTTTTCCTTGCCAGAGCATTTTGCAGCCACAGACATCATGGGATGCAGATAGCCAAAAACGGACCTACACTCCTGATTCACTAGACTCTTCCTATGTGGCTGCCTGGGTCCCTAGCCAATCCCTACACAAGTCCAAACACCTCCCAGGGCTAGGGCCTGATCAGAAAGCTGAGCGTATAGCCATCCCTCTCCCTACAGGTCCATCTCCCTCCCCACAGCTTCCTTTTGAAGAAATACAACCCTCTTTGTCCAGCTTGTCAAGCTCCTTTTTCAATAGAGCCTCAAAAGCATTGAAATAGGTTGGCTGTGGAGTCCCCCAAGAATTTCCAGTCTCCGCCCCACCCCCAAACTCCTGAAGGCCAGCAGTCACTCAGAACAGCTAAGTTGCATGCGCTAAGTGGACAGAAAGCAGGCCCAAAGGTGCTGGAGTTATTTCCACAGCATCCCCAGTAGCTTCCAGCCTCTCTGGTCCAAACCTGTGATGGTTGGTCAGTTGAGGGCAGTGGGATGCCCTGATGAGCTAGAATTTGTTGAAAGAATATTGTCCACTATACACTCTGCCCCAGGTGGTGGGCTAAGCTAGACATTCTCTACCTCCTCTACACAGTACAAGTCTGAGAGGTGCATGTCATCCCCACTTTACAGATGAGGACCTGGAAGTTTGGAGGTCAGATGCCTATGCTAAGAAGGTAACAGAGCTGGTGAAAGGCAGGGCCAGCATTCCAACCTGAGACCCACCTGGTCCACAGGTTGTCTTTGTGTTGAGTTTCCCGGTTTATGCCATTTCCTCCTCCACTCCCCACACCCCAGATCCCCTGTCTGTCCCTGAATCATGCAGATTCAAATTCTATGTCTCAAATCTCCTCCTCTCACTACTCAGATATATTTATCCCTTTTCCTCATCAAGCCCAGAGAAAGCTCAGCTCTACCATTAAAGTTTTAAGTACGGCTGAGTCTTTGAAAACAATACCCCCAGATTCACTCTGTATCTAAGTGCATGGGTTACCCCGGTGCAGCAGAGAGTGTGGGACTGCAAGCCCCCAAAGTGGGGCATTTCGGAACCCCACAGTGAAAGAGGCTAAATGTAGTTTGAAAACACTACAGTTTGTATTCTAATTCTTTTGGCTTTTTTTTTTTTTTTGGTCATCATAATATATTACAAAATTTCAAACAACAAAGGATGACACGGAATTGTAATATTTATTGAAAGTGGGTTTGGGTTTTAAAAGTTGTGAAACACTGTCTTACAGTCTTATCGGAATTTATAGATTTTTTTCCCACACTTTTTGAATGTTTTCTTCATATGCTTGTCCTACCCCGCTCAAGTGGACTGCAAAAGTCTAGGAGGGTGGCCATCGGCCGTGAGTTTCTCTCTTTTGTGTTTCTCTCCATAGTCTTTACCCAGTGGACACTCTATAACCAGGTCATCCAACCTATTGTCTAACATGGTTTGTTTTTCATTCCTGAGGGAACTTTTTTGCTGTTCAGTCAAACCCAACCTAAATAAAGGACTGAAGGAAATGGGTTGGTTTTCAAACAAAAATAGGTGATCTGAGGAGAGGAGATGGATGAAACAGAAAATAGCACAATAAAATGTCACTAAATTGGAACCTACCACTTCAGGGAGACTGAACCAGAACTTAGCTTTTGAACTCTTCACTGAAAAATTATTTAACCAGTTAAAATTCACAGCAGTGACAAACTCACTCTGGTGACCATTCCATCTTCCTAAGAAAACAAAGCAACGCCAAGCACCCATATTGCACACCAGAAAGAAAGGGGTATGCTCTAAGAGCCTCCTAAGCACTAGCTTCTAATCGTACCATCATTTCCCAATCAAATCAATTCAAACAACCAGTGGGTTGTTCTTATCTCCAGTTCATGTATCATTGTGTGTGTGTGTGTGTGTGTGTGTGTGTGTGTGTGTGTGTGTTTGCTGGCTCGAAAGTTTAAGAATGTTTAAGAAAATGTTTTCAGCTGAAACTGGCCATCCCTCCCAACTGCTGAAGTTTTGCAGAAAGACTGTTCGGTGAAACAGTGTGTTTTCTTCCTTAGACAGATGATAAATTCATGGGGGGGCGGGCACAGACAACACAAGTTGAAAGGAAAAAACAGATCTTTGGGGAAAGTAGAGTGATTTGGGCTGTCACAATGAGACCTCCTAACTCCACTCCGTGGACTGCTGGTGAACACTTGAGTCATCTACTCCAACTCCTTATCCAGCTTTTTCCAGACTCCAATCACATCCACCACAAAGGAAACCAAGTTTGAGTTTTAAAGCTTAGATTGAGGGGCGCCTGGGTGGTTCAGTCGTTAAGCGTCTGCCTTCAGCTCAGGTCATGCTCCCAGGGTCCTGGGATCGAGCCCTGCCTGGGGCTCCCTGCTCCGCAAGAAGCCTGCTTCTCCCTCTCCCACTCCCCCTGCTTGTGTTCCCTCTCTCGCTGTGTCTCTCTCTGTCAAATAAATAAATAAAATCTAAAAAGAAAAAAAAGCTTAGATTCAGTTCTTCATCCAAGGGAAAATTAACTAGAAGTGTCATTTCAACATCTGTCTCCTGTCACACTGCTTTAGGAAGAGAAAGCATCATGCAGGTTTATTTAGAATCATAGAAAGGTAGGGCTGGAAGAGGAATGCGGCTGTGTCACTAACCAGAAAGTGAGGAATATGGTGCCACAAAAGTGACTTGTCCGGGGTGAACGTATGAGGGCAGACCCCAGCCAGGACTCAGGCCCCCTACTGCCAGTTCACCTTTCTTTTTTAGGTCTCCACTCTTGTCCACTGAGGCCGACTTAGCGGAAGCAGGAGGTGCAGTATATATATATGACATTTGGGGGCTTCCGGAGGAATCTCAGGAAGTTTACACTGAGGGCCTGGAGAGTTTGGAGAGAACAGACGGAACCAGAACAGACCCAGCAGCGCGCGCACGCAAACACGCGCACACACGCACGCACACACAATGACACGGACACAAGCAGAAGCTGAGCTGGGCAGGGTGGACAGCAGAGGAACCCACCTCGCAGGGCCGCCCCCGCCAGCGCCGGGTGCAGGACTTGCTGGGCGCCAGCAGAGGGCGCGCCGCCCCCAGGGAGCCGAGCAGCAGCCGCGCGGAACTCGGCAGGCTAGGGGAGCCGCAGGCGAGCCGGACGCGCCCCTGCAGCTCGGCCACTCAGGGTGCAGGACCCGGCCAAGGAGGAGGAGGAGGGTGAGGAGCGGACCCCCCTCGTGGGCCCGAGTAACAGACGTGCAGGAGTGCTTCCTAGGAATTACATCACGCTGCGCAACGCTGCGGCTCTCGGACTCCTCCTGCTCAGTGTGTGTGTGTCTGTGTGTGTCTGTGTGTGTGTGTGGTGTGTGTGTGTGTGTGTGTGTGTGTGTACGGGCTGGGGGGAGGGGACTTAGACCAAGCTTGGGAGAGAGGAAGGCGAGACGCGCCCGGGGGAAAAATCTCCATGCACATGGAGAAATTCCTTGCGCCGGACTGCACGGAGAAACGAGCCCCCAGCATCTCCCCGCTGCTCCCCTCCCCGTGCAAAGCACCCAGCTAGTGAGAACCCTCACAGCCCCACCTCGAGCACCCCCCAAAACCGGCCCTGCACCCTCCAGTCCGGCTCCAGCGCCGCCGCGAGCTTTCCCCAGGACTGGCCCTGGCGGGGCGCCTAGAGCCCCAGTTGCATTGCTCCAGGAGAAAGGAGGGGGGCGGTGCATTTTGCAGGAGGAGGAGAAGGGGGGTGGGTGGTGGGGG